CTACAGCTCCTACCCCCCTTCCTGGGCTGGGGGGGCTGGGCGATGGGGCAGAACTTTCCCCGCCCCCCAACCGCACCCCTTCCCCCTCGGGGTGCCCCTGGCAGGGGGGTGGGGCAGTCCCTGGGCTGAGACCCTGTCTCCCTGGGCCCCAGTGTCAGACAGTCCCTGGCTCTGTCCACATGTGGGTGACGGGACATGACCCCCCTCAGGACCTTTCTGCCACAGCCTGCCCAGGGCAACGGGGGGCAGGAGAGAACCAGCCTGGGGGGTAGATGGGGGGCTGGGGCCTGTCTCTGGGGCAGGGAATCAACTCTTCTTCCTCAGCATCCTCCGTCTCCAGCCCCTTTCCCAGCACCCCCTCTTCTCTCTCCCCCCAGTTGAGCCCGAGGTGACAGTTTTCCCCACAAAATCGGGGTCCCAGCCCCACCCCCACCTGCTGGTTTGCTCGGTGACGGGGTTTTACCCCGGCGGGATCGAGATCAAGTGGCTGAAGAACGGGCAGGAGCAGACGGCCGGGGTGGTGTCCACGGAGCTGCTCCAGAACGGAGACTGGACCTTCCAGATCCTGGTGATGCTGGAGATGAGCCCCCGGCGCGGGAACGTCTACACCTGCCAGGTGGAGCACATCAGCCTGCAGCACCCCCTCACGGTGCACTGGGGTAAGAGCCTCTGGGTGTGGGGCAGCCCCTGAGCCCGCTGGGGCAGCCCTCGGGGGATGGGCCTGGGTCAGAGCGCTCACACGAGCCCTGCTAACCCAAATCTATTGACCTGGGCTGGGAGCTCACGTCCACGGGCTCCACAATGCAGTGTAGACACAACCTGAGTGGGGCAGTGATGGGGTGGGGAGAGGAGCAAAGTCTCCATGATAATGACTGGTCTGGAAAAGGGAGAGCGGAGCGTCTGTTCTCCCTGTCTCACAGCACAAGGACAAGGGGCCACTCAGTGGAATGGAAAGGGGCAAATTCACACCTGGTAAAAGGAAGGACGTTTTCCACACACTGTGTAATTAGCCTGTGGAACTCACTGCCACAGGGTGTCACTGAGCCCAAGAGCAGAGCAAGGTTCACACAGAGACTGGCTATTTCTGTGGCTCACAGACTATCCAGGGCTAGACTCAGAGCCATCCCTTGGGTAGGGCGAATTGGGGGAACCACTCTGGGTCCCGTGGGCCGGTGCGATTGGCCGGTGCAGTCAGTCCTGGAAGAGACAAATCTGTCACTTCCGCCCCAGGCCCCGCACCCCCCTAGGTACAGCCCTGGCTAGACCAGTTCATGCTGACAATGGGCAGGGATCTCAAACCTCGCGCTGCAGGGCCTGAGCCGATCTCTGATGATCACAGACCAGGAGGAGCCCTGACGTGGGGCAGATTGTCCCACAGCTGCTCCTGCGGGCCCTGGTCCCTGGCTCTGACCCGGCCGGCGCTGGTCACTGGCGCGGATGGGAGACTGGCCCGGAGGCCCCTGGCTCTGCCCCGGCGGCGCCGGTCACTGGCGCGGACGGGAGCCCGGCCCGGAGGCCCCTGGCGCTGACCCGGCCGGCGCTGGTCACTGGTGCGGACGGGTAGCTCTGAC